ATTCTATTGGCCAATATTTTATTCAAGATTTTTGCATCTATGTTCATAAGAGATATTGGCCTATAGTTTTCTATTTTGGTGGTGTCCTTTCCTGGCTTTGGTATCAAGGATATGTTTCCTTCATAGAATGAGTCTGGGAGTGTTCCATCTTGTTCTATTTTTTGAAATAGTTTACATAGAGTTGGTGACAGTTCTTCTCTAAATGTCCCATTCATCTATTTTATCCTCTCCTGGTTGTAGGGTTTTTCAGGATGCTTGGAAGACTGTTCATGTTGTAGATTAGAGCTTCTAGAGTTCTTCCAAGCTTTTCTCTAATGACGTTTATAGACCTTGGTTTTAATCCTAGCTCCTTGATCCACCCTGAGTTGAGCTCTGGTGGCCTAGTGGTAAGAATGTGCATTGCATTCACGACTGCATGCAGTTCAAATCCACCAGCCGCTCTGCAGGAGAAGGATGGGCATTCTTCTCCAGTGTGATTAACTGTCTCTGAAAACCCACAGGATTGTCATCTACAAGTCGGTTCTGACTCGATGGTACTCGACAACAACAGGGCTAACTCCCTGCATTTGGATTTCAATTTAGTGCTAAGAAGTTGTGCTGCAAACCTGAAGGAATGCCATTCTAATCCACTAGATGCTCTGTGGGAGAAAGATAAGCAATCTCTTCCTGTGTTGTTTACAGCTTCCAAAAACTAGTTATGAGTCAGTTCTGACTCGGTGACACATAACAACAGCATACTGTGAGAAATAATTTTCTATTCCTTATACTCACTCACTTATGATACGTTATGAGAGTACTGCATAACTAAGACACATACATACCAACCTTCACCTTCTTTTAGTCAAACCCATTTTCTAGAAGGGAGAAATTCCATATAAAGTCAAAGTCAGCTTCTACACTTGAAGTTTGTTTGTCTCCCCCCACCCTACAGAAGATTCTTTTAGAACTTTAAACCCACTGCCACAGTAACTCTGACTCATGACAACTTCATTTATGTCATAGAAGAGCTGTGCCCCATCAGCTGATCTTTCAGAAGATCATCTCTGGGTAAATTAAAATCTCCAATCTTTCAATTAGCAACCAGGTGTGGTAATCATTTATACCATTCTGGGACTCTTTAAGACTTTAGAAACCATTTTAAGCCTCAGGTGACTCTAGGACAACAAGATTTCATTTAATTTAACAAATGAGACTTCTAACAAAGCCAATCAGGCTCTCTTTCCCTCTACCCCTCAGTCGTTACAATTCCTTCCCAACTCAGAGTTTCTCCTACCGTAAAAATGAGAAACCAGTAGTCTTCTTCATCCAAGAATCTGTTATACCAGGGACTGAGAACCTGTAACCAAACACAAGTGTTATTACATAGGTATTGAGCTTGGAGCCTCGCCCCTGTGCTAATCTGACACTATGGTTTTCTGTAGTGTCTGGAGTCCTAATTTACAGAAGCTGTAGGAGAACATCTGCCCTGACCAACCTCAACAATCAATGGAGGCACTCCATTCTTTCTCTGCATATGGCAAATCATACACACTCTCTTTGAGTCTCAGAAAACAGTAATCAATATTTACTCAGTAAGATGTATAACATCATTTACTCAAGAAAAACTACATGACATCTGTTTGTTGTTATTGTGTACCGGAGAGTTAGAACCAACCCATAGCTGACCCTCCAGTGGGTTTTCAAAGGCAGTTAATTACACAGGAGGACATTGTCAGTCTTTTTCCCTTGGAGCAGCTGGTAGTCTTGAACTGCATGCCTTCAGGATTGCAGCACAGCTTCTTGCCATTAGGCCACCGGAGCTCCCTACATCTCCTACTCCTGCCATCTGTTTAGTTATTTTTTTTTCTTTTCAAAAACCCAATCCAATTTGCTGTTCAGAATTTCTCTGTAAGCCGAGGTTCTCCTTGTAGTGATAAGTGTCTAGTAGGTATATCTTCAACTTGAAGACACTACCCATTTGTGAGAAATGATTCATTATGTTAAACAATTAAAACAACCTAAAACTAAGTGCTTAGCTAGATTTCTGTGCTTGAATTCTCACTTTCATTTGTTTATTTGCTTGATAACTATTTTTTTCTCTATTGTAGACATTGTAGAAATTGTTGAGAATGTATAGATCAATATAATATAAGCCTTGTTCTCAAGGAGCTCATCTTCAAGTGTGATGAATATTGATGTGACAGAAAAGAAACAAAGTTATCTAGAAGTGGGGGGGAAAGGAGAGAATAGATAATTATTTAGGGTTGAGTCACAGAGATATAAAAAATAATTCATAGGTAGTAGTCCAGTTTTGCAAAAACCATTTGTTGAAGAGGTTTGTCATTTCCTCATTTGATAGGTTTTCTTTCCTTGTCGAATATAGATAGGTCCATTGCTGGGTTCTCAATTCTGTTCCATTGATCTATGTGCCTGTCATTGTACCAGTACCATGCTGTTTTGGTTATTACAGCTGCGCAGTAGGTTTTGAGGTCAGGGAGTTCTATGCCTCCCATTTAATTTTTGTTTTTCAGAAGTGTTTTGTTTATTCAGGGTCTCTTTGTCTGTATTGAGATTGTGTTGAACATGTAGATTGGTTTTGATAAGATTGTCCTTTTCACTATATTGAGTCTTCCTATCCATGAACAGGGAACATTTTTTCCATTCATTTAGGTCTTTTATCACAGAAATTTCTGTAATTTTCTTTGTACAGGTCTTTTGTAACTCTAGTTAGGTTCACTCCCAAGTATCACAATTTGTGCCTATTGTAAATGGTATTTATATCTTGGTTTCCTTCTCTGAGTTCTTTTTGTTACTGTAGAGGAATCCCATTGACTTTTTGATATTGCCCTTATATGCTACCACCCCATTAACTTGGTTCACTAGCTGTAACAGGATTCATATCTCACACCGTATACAAAAATCATCTCAAGGTGGATCAGAGACCTTGGAGTAAATCCTCAAACCATAAAGTTCATACAAGACACTAGGATCAAGTTTAGAAGACCTAGTCTATGGTATAAATAGGCTGACAAATACAGCCAGAAATGCACAATCTAGAGAGGATAAATTGATGAATGGGACTTTCTAAAGATAAAATCTCTGTGCTCATCAAAAACTTTTTCCAACAGGGTGAAAATAAAAACCTACCAACTAAGAAAAAGCATTTGGCAATACCATCTTAGACAAAGGTCTCATAACAAAAGTTTTAGGATACTACTGGCCTCCAGAAGAAAAAGACTGACAACCAAATAACAAAATGAGCAAAAACTATGGAAAGATATTTCACAGAGGAAGGTCTTCACATTGCCAATAGACAAATGAAGAAATGTTCAAAATCACTGGCAATAGGAGAGATACAAATCTAAACCACAATGAGATACCATCTCACTCCTGTAGCAGCAGCAACATTTAACAGGACAGACAGCAAGTAATAAATGTTGAAGAGGATGTGAAGAAATAGGAACTCTTTTTTTTTAACTGGTTGTATGCCATCAAATCATATCTGGCTGGCACAAGAGGGGATTTCCCCTCTTTCTCTAGCAGAGCATCTGGTGGATTCAAACTGATTGACTTTAGGATTGTGGAGCAGCTTCTCACCACTAGGCACAAGAACGTCCAAGAGATAGGAACTCTTATACATTGCTAGTGGGATTGTAGAATGGTACAAACACTCTGGAAAGCAGTTTGGCATTTCCTCAAAAGGCTGAACATAGAAATTCCATATGACCCAGCTATTCCACTGCTTGGATATACCCCAAGAGAATGAGAACTGAGGCACAAACAGAGACTTGTACATCAATTTTCATAGTAAAGTTATTCACCATTTCAAGAACTTGGAAACAGCCCAAATTTCCAACCACAATTGAATGGATTGAGGAAATGATGGAATAATACGTAACATGCATGAGCAATGATTTTGTAACTTACTACCTGAATTTTGTATAATCAATGACTTATTCATTGCAAATACATTTTATAAGAAACAAAAACACAGGTTATACACATGGATTTCACCTGATTATATGCATAGGAATCAGATCGACTACATCTGCAGAAAAAACCACTAGAGAAGCTCAATATCAGCTGTGAAAACTAGGCCAGGAGCTGATTGTGGAACAGACCACCAACTACTCATATGCAAGTTCAAGCTG